TTGTTGAATGAATTGATGATGATTGGGGTGATGCGACATTACACAACCGCATTACTGATAACACAAAGAGGGCAGTGCAACCGAAACATGATCCAATGAAAGATAAAAAAGAAATTGGGCGGAGTGTTTTTACTTTATATGTAGATGTCGGATGATGTGTGGGAGAGACAATAAGAGCATACACGAACCGTTACATTTACCCTTTTGGTATAAAAGGTGCTCTATATTTGGTAGAATTAAAGGTTTAAATCTGATGTGTAACATTTGATCTTACTATGGCGAACGGAGTTAAGTCACTTGCCGTGTGATCACTTTTTACTTTAACCAAATTTCTTTATTATTAATATTTTTATTACCTCGACATATAAATTGTTCGTCTCACCGTCTCACCGAGAAAACAAGAAAATCCTGCAACTCTGGTGAGTCCGGAATTTTTCATACGTTGTTGGTCTTAATAAAACCGGAGAATTTCTATTGAACCGGAACTCCGACAGAATCGTAACTTAATTTGCAGCTTTTGTTTAGTGTCATTCGAGTATTTTTTTTTGTTTAACATACGTAATTTGATCGAATTCAGGGCACATGTTTGCCGAGACTCGAAGGTTACGATTCGCCTAATAAAAAAAATAATGTAAAATAAAATATGAAACCAAACATATACATAACTTTAATCTCACCTTACTTACTTTACTTTTAAGAAGTGATGCATAAAATCTCTATTATATATATACCGTATGCAAATGTCAAATTTGAGTTTAACCTTTATTATATTTGTTGTTAAATTTTCCAATTTAATATCAATCTGACCGTCAACTCCACATTTTAAACCGAACATAAAAAAAAAAACCAGAAAACGAATTCCGCTATTAGGTGGCTAACTTTACGAGAAAATTTAGTTTACTTACATTATTATTATTGAATTAACATTATTTGTTATTATCGATAAAAAAATTTTTTTTAAATTTCTCGCATATTAACCTAATAACAATAACAATAATATAAATAATATCAAATGTTGATAAATTATATTTTTTGAAATTAATTGATTATGCCTCGATTGAAAATTTTTTAAAAAATTTAAGAAATATATTCAAATATATAAATATGAATAATCCGGTTAAAAAATTATTTTTTCAAATAATAGCTTAAAATTTTATATTAATAATATGAACAAGTTATAAATAATTATAAATTAATAAAAACTTAAATACATATCCAGTATATGGAATATAATTTGTAAATCGATGATAATTAAAATATAATTATTTTTTTAAAAAAACATATTATTAGTTTGATTTTTATATATAAATTTATTATATACATATTGTTAAAATTTATAAATTCTTGATATAATTAATTAAATTACCATTAAAATATATAAATATTTAATTTATAATACAATCATTTTTAAAATTTTAAAATTAAATTAATAATAAATAATTTATATTATATATATATACTATTTTATTTTATCTTTGAATTTTAAATATAAACCAAATATAATTCTTTATTAAATATATTAAAAATTTATTTTTAAATTATTTATATGATATTTTATTATTATTTAATATATTAAATTATTTGTTACAAGTTTATAATTTTTATCTATTTTTAACATCCATTTATTAATATTTAAAAAAATAATAACATATAATAAAAATAGATTAATTAATTTATTATTAATATTTAATAATAAAATAATATCTATTAATATTGATAACAAAATATAAATTAAATTTTAAATTAAATTTTTTTAATTTTAAACTTCATTTTAAAATATTAAAAAAAATATAAAAATATAAAAATATATATTTAATTTAAAAATATATATCAATGAAATAAACAAATTAAAAACTTAATTTAAATTTATTATATATAATTTATAAAAATAATTTACAAGTTATAATTTTATCAAACAAATTATATTTGAATTTTAATTAATAAAAAAAATAATATATTATTTTATAAATTATATTTAAAAATTTGTAAATAAATAAATTAAATTTAGAGAATTTATATATGCAATTTTTATTATATTAATTTATTTAATTTAATAAATAAATAACTTTAATCTAATTAAGAAAAAAAAAATCAATATTTAATAATAATTTTAATAATATATTATTTTTATTTAATTTTTATTTAATAGTATATTGTGTAATATACTTTTTTATTTATTTTAAATTTTATATACATATTTTTTTATTTAAAAAAATTTTTTTAATTATAACTTATTAATTATTTAAATAATATTTTTAAATAATACTTATGTTAATAATTTTATTATTTTATATTATTTTAGCAATCTTGTTATACTATATATTTATTTTACAATATTTATTTATTTTTAATTTAATTAAAATTTTTAATTATTTAAATTTATTTTATTTTACTATAAAAATAATAATAATTAATAATATGTTTTCAACAAATTTATTGAATTTGATGTCATTGATATTGATATTTAAATCAGATAATTACAATTTTTGTATTGTTCTTATTAAGAATTTATTTGATAAGCTTATATGTAAATCTATAGAATTAATTTTTCCTGATAATTACAAGCTTTTTAATATTTTTGAATATGATCATTTCAAAATAAATTTGCATTTCTAGTTGAGACCTGATTCAATGTTTTTGGATAAATTCGAGATCTGAATATTTTTGCCTGGAATACTTGCATTGCCTGTCAAGCTCTTCTTTTTGTTTCTTTAAACTAACTCTAATATAATGGATTTTTTCTTTTATTTATCCTTTTTTGATAACATTTCATAATGTTTTTCTATATCATCTCGCTCAACCATACAAAAACGGGATTATAAAAAATATTAAATTACCAACAATGGTGTAATAATGATAATTCAAACATTCGTTACCATTAATAATTAGGTAATCTAAAATAACTACTATTACTAAAAATAACAATCAGTAAAATAATATATTGATTGTATTGTTTACACCATGAAATACTATTCTAACTAAAGAAAAGGTTATTTGATTTCGCAACCATTAAAGGAACACAGGATTTGAATCACGTTCTGTGCATTACATATTTTCAGAACAATGTTGACATTTCATTATTGCAAATCTTGAGTTCCCCAAACATTCATGGTTTTTGAATTCCTTTTCGGGAATCTTATTAAATATAATCCGCATATAAATTTAGTAATACACCGTATTGCGATCTCATTGTGAGCCAACGCGTTTAATGATTCTCGTTTTTTTCTTTCTTCACGACGTCGATTCAAAAAGTGTCCACATGAACAAGTTAAGATAGAAAGCCGAGGTCGCAGTTTAACTTTACCAAAAATCACATCTCAAAGCGGAGAACGCTCCGGTAAAGCCCGGATTTTCATTCGCAAAACTCTGATAATCTATGTCAATACCATTTCACATCAATAAACAGACCTTCACACGCGACCTAATCAAGGGCCCTGGATCCTCCGCCCATGTATAGTTTAATTTGAACATAAAAAGAACGAAAACGCGAGTGCTTCTCGCACGCAACAATACCCGAGACGGTCAATAAGATTTGGCGGGCCTAACCGATTGCATATGGGAAATCGCGTGTAACTAATATGGGATGCAAAATAGGAAAATGTGCTCATGTTTCACGGTTAAATCAACAACAACAGAACATCTGAAAGATTATTACTGCATAAAACCAGTTCCAAACAGGTACAATAAGGTATGTTTATGTTTTTTTTTTTAACTATCAAGATATGCACGGCTACTTGTTGTTATATCCACCTTGGGAACCCAAATAAAGACCCTATAATGGTATGGTCAATGCACGATCTCATTCGATGTTGCGTTTTTGGCAATGAATTTGGAAGAATCTATTCACACAAAAGGCAAATGATGTAATGGGAGAGGATCGAGATTATTTCATGACACAGATTGGGTTTTTCCCTCCAAAACTCAACCTACGAATGAATATTCCTTTTTCTAATATGATAAATAATGTCGAACCTGTTTCACTTCCGGATAATTCGATTCGGTGTTCTGCATGCATGCACAATACAATCCGTTGTCTGGCAATATCATGGTGCCGCATCGGTTCACCAACTGTCGGAATCCGACTTCAACGGACTTGTTACCATTTTAACACCTGCCGCGTTGAAACCGAATCGTGCTCAAAACGATGTGATTGGCATATGATTTTGTCAAGTAAATAAAAATGACTCACAGAAATGAGGGCGGAATTTTATCTCATCGAGATGGGATTCTCAACCGAAACAATGAAAGTGGAAATTACAAACATAGTACGTAATCAATCGTAGATGGTCAATGAAAAGTTTTTCATCTAGGATCCAGCGAATTACGAATGCATGCGTTATATAAGGCTTACATAATGAGGATATATAAAATCAACACGTATGTGCACGAGATACGCTAATGATCACGAGCGAATGCAAAGCAACATAATGAAATTGCGCGTACAGATGTTAAAGAGCCATACAAATATAAATTGTGATACACAAAAAAAAACAGTGCACATCTTGTTTTGTTACGCATCCAATGCAGCGTGATTTTTAAATAATAAAATCCAATTTATCGAGTAGAATATACTGTACTTGCCATATGCTGGTTTTCGCATGTTTTTTTTTTCCAAAATAATGCACCACTCAAATTTACTGCATACATTTTTTATTAAACCTTTTATCCATTGTGATTAAAAATTTTATTAATGAACACGTGTCATTGTAAAATAAGATATGGTAAATTAAAAAAATATATTTAATAGTAAAATGTTTTTTATCTTGAAACATCCAAATAAATAAATAAATAAATAAATAAAACTTTAATTTAGAAATTTATTGATATTTTTTTATTGAACTATTAAATAATTATTTCTTTTAAACATATACAGTATATTATTAATCATATTATTGATTTTATATAAAAATCAAAATTAATTATTATTATACAGTATGGTGCAAAAAATTTTGAAATATTATTTATATAATATAAACGCGTATAACTTTTAATTAATTTATTTTTTTTCATTTGATATTTTTTTTAAATTGTTAAAGTGAGGCTTTTCTCATGATTTTATTAATTGAATATGAGTTTTATCGATACATAATTAATTTCTAAATCTAGAGATGTATTACCATGCATATTAGCCTACCACCTATAAAGTAAATATATTCCTAAAAAAAACTTTTTACAAGGAAAAAAAAGGAAGGAATTATCTACTTAAAAAAAATGAAAGAAAAACTAAGGGTTTCAGATTTGTAAAAAAAGTAAAGAAATAAAAATGAAATTATAGAGAAAAGTAAATATGAAAAAATATAAAGTTTGT